CTTGTGCGTTTCTGGGAAACAGAAACACCGGCCTGCGATCAGCAGCTTCCTGAGGCACTTCGGGGAAGGTGCGGGAATGGAAAATTGCCAAATCCGACGGTATAAGCTGTCCACGTGCTAGATTTGTTAGCGCTTGCTTGAATTCAACTTCGTTCTGGCGCATCAGTGTATGAAGTCTGTTAACTTGGAATAAGTGCCACAGCGGTCTTGCAAAGGCTTCCACATATGGGTTGTGGGACCTGTTCCCGTATACTGGTGCCGCCATCACTGGTCATAGCTGTGAAAGTCGCCAACAGCAATAACACTTTTGCCTCCAAATTCAGCGCCTCCAAATAAGTGGCGTAGGCGCATAGCCACCATTCGCAGCAGGGGTTCGCCTACCATAGATATCTCATCTATGATGATCACTTGTAGGCACTGTAGTCTGGTTGCCATTGTGTTGGACACACCAGGGGAGAGCTCAATAAGAGTGTTGGAGTTGACTGGAAGCTGGAACAGGGCATGCAGTGTTAGACCCCTGATATTGAACGCTGCTTTTCCCGTTGGAGCGGCTAGCAGAACAGATGGGAAGTCCGGATTGAGTTTCAAACGTTGAGCGAAAATGCGAAGTAGGACTTGATATATTGCTCGAATCAAGACACTTTTCCCCACTCCTGCTCTACCTGTTATGAAATGATGTACGGGCTCGTTGCTGCGTTTGAAGTGTGCAGCAATGTGCATTACGTAGTCTTTCTGCTCCGAATTCAGCGAGTTAAGCATCTCTTCAAATTCCTTCTGAGCCGCCTGATTTGGCAAGTGAAAGTGCTCCGCGTACTGAGTTCTTTCGTACTGCCCATCATCAATATGTGTCACTTCCTGTTCATCAAGCTAATCGTTGCTGAAATCAAATGTCGGTGCTGTGGGATCCGCCTCGACGTCTGTTTCTCGAGCCTGCGCATCGTTCTCAGCTTGTTCCATGGCATCTTCCAGTACACTGTTGGGAAAGTAGTGGTACTTTCCCCTGCTCTGCATGATTTCATCGGGGTGCATGTGAAACAGTGCTTCGCAGTCGACATTTACAATTTCCGCATCTTCATTTCGCCAGGGGTGATAGAGTATCACCAGTTCCTGTAGAAATGCTGTGGCTTGGTTTGGATATTATACATTCGATAGCGGATGACTTTCGGTTTCGACCGCTTCCTGATGTATCCTGCATTATTCTTTAGTTCAATGCAGTGTTCTTGCGCGGAAACATCTTCGACTTCATCAGTGCTATCTATATCTTCATCAACCTGTGCAGCAATGTGTCGCGCTGTACCTGGTCTGCTTTTACAATAGTTGTAGGACGCAGCGAAATCGGCGAGTGAAATTCTTTCCAATTCGGCCGGTCTTTTTGTATAGTGGTGGATTACATTGTGTACGAAGCAATCATCGGAAGACGGGTTCAGTGTGCGGAGCTCTTGCTGTGGCTTTACAATCCGTACTCGCTCATCTGGCAGTGATGTTTGAATGAATATTACCTTCTCGGTGCATTGTGACATTGGAATTTGAAGAATGTTATATGCCGCTTCCTGAGCTGAAATCTCGGTGGTGTTGCAGTGGGCTGTGCCGATACTTTGCACTGTTTGCCTTAAGGTACTGCTTCTCTTCCGCAGCTCCTTTACTATGCCTTTAATTGTACTGCTTACTCCTCTGTCTGCTCTGTTGATGTAATCGATAATGTACGGTGCACATGCGTACGGATTGAGTACAAATTGCAGATCCATATTGGACCGCGTTGTTGACAGAATTTTTGGCGAATACGGATTGACCAATATGTCTCTAGGAGATCGACGCAACATCACTTTACACTTCCGCAGATCGGACCTCACTGCTTATAGGTATTCCTCCTCAGAAACTTGGCATAGTCCGAGAAACTGAGACCGCCTAGATTTTCGTTTTGGTTCAAAATATGTTTTATTTGTTGCAATTGACCAGCAAGACGCCGGCGCTCCCGTACGCTGACTGTCTCCGTCAGAGGCTGCAAAATGCGTGTCTCGCGCATGGGATAGAATGGTATTCCGAACCTGCATTTTGCTGATTCATGCTTTCGGCAAGTCCGGCAGTGTCTGTGCTGTTGGGATTGAAGATAGTGCGGATAGGTCTGTGGCTCTTGCTGCTCCACATCGTTTATTGCAGAGGTGCATGCAATAATGCTATAGATGTAGTTGCATACCTCTCGCTCGTTTCATCCTGTGAGCGCATCGTAAACAGGTGCGTCCTGAATCCAGAGCAACTAATGTATGTGAGGTGATCCGCGTTGCTAAAATTCCACTCTATAATACGAATGAGTTATGCTTTTCCCTCCAAACGGTCCGTCAACCAGACTCCAAATCTTCGTCTGTTCTTTGTAGCGATAGTCGAAGTACCGAGCGCAAGTAACTGGATCCGATTGGATCAGCCGCGATTTTTCTGCATATGGCAAGGCCAGTGCGTCATTGGGGTTGATGGATTCCTTGTCTACAACTTGTTTTAAAATTTGCAGAAGTTCAGGGCAGTGAGTCTCAGCTGCTGAAATGGTGAGAAAGAAGGTTGGTAATCCGAATTGTCTGACCATGGCAAGAACTTTGTGCTTCTCGTTGTGCCAGTGCGTGCAGGCGTTTCGTACGCCAGCAAGAACTTGGTAGGCGTCATCGTGTTGCACAAGTCCGTGAATGAAATCGTTGTTGGTCAGATTTGCTGCATTGATATCCGTGCGATTGCAAATTCTTTTTTTGCGGAGACATACCGACATATTGCTGGATAGCTTCAGCAGTTCAATTTTCTTTGCCATGAAAAGCAAGTAGTCCGGTCGTCGTGCTACACGTCGGTCGTAACGCATGGCAAACGATTTGCAAATGTCCGAATAGGACATGGGCCGGCCCTGAAAACTCGACTGTAATTTTTCCCCACCGAAAATTGCCGGAAAAGACAAATATTCGGTGTCTCCGTCCAGGAGAATTGATATGGGTCTATGCCCTTCTGCTGGTGCCATTCTTACACCGCGTGGTATTTCATCCGTCATTAGCATTGTTTCCTGCACGCCTGGATTAACTAGCTCCGCCTCTTCTGGGTCCAGTCCTTCCTCGGGTTACTCCAGTTCTATGTTTGTATCTGGAACCACTGTTTGCCCCTGCTGCTGCAGCCAGTTCTCTGATATAGCTATATTGTGGGACTGATAGAGTGGCTGAGTGCAAAGATACCAAGCAATTTGCCATACTAGACGTGGTCATAAATCCCCCGAAGTGTAGC